GTGCTGGCGGCCGCCAGCCCCTACTTCCGCGCCATGTTCGCCGGACAGCTGCGCGAGAGCCGCGCCGAGCGGGTGCGCCTGCACGGCGTGCCACCAGACATGCTGCAGTTGCTGCTCGACTTTAGCTACACGGGCCGTGTGGCTGTGAGCGGCGACAACGCCGAGCCGCTGCTGCGCGCCGCCGACCTGCTGCAGTTCCCGGCGGTGAAGGAGGCGTGCGGCGCCTTCCTGCAGCAGCAGCTCGACCTGGCCAACTGCCTGGACATGCAGGACTTCGCCGAGGCCTTCAGCTGCTCGGGGCTGGCGAACGCGGCGCAGCGCTTCATCCTGCGCCACGTGGGCGAGTTGGGCGCCGAGCAGCTGGAGCGGCTGCCGCTAGCGCGCTTGCTGCGCTACCTGCGCGACGACGGGCTGTGCGTGCCCAAGGAGGAGGCCGCCTACCAGCTGGCGCTGCGCTGGGTGCGCGCCGATCCCCCGCGCCGCGCCGCGCACTGGCCGCAGCTGCTCGAGGCTGTGCGCCTACCCTTCGTGCGCCGCTTCTACCTGCTGGCGCACGTCGAGGCTGAGCCGCTGGTGGCCCGCTGCCCTCCCTGCCTGCGCCTGCTACGCGAGGCGCGGGACTTCCAGGCGGCGCGCTACGACCGCCACGACCGCGGGCCCTGTCCCCGCATGCGTCCGCGTCCTTCCACCGGCCTCGCAGAGATCCTCGTGCTCGTGGGCGGCTGCGACCAGGACTGCGACGAGTTGGTTACTGTCGACTGCTACAACCCGCAGACGGGCCAGTGGCGCTACTTGGCTGAGTTTCCAGACCACCTGGGCGGAGGCTACAGCATTGTCGCGCTTGGCAACGACATCTACGTGACGGGTGAGTGGGCTGGTTAGGAGGACTCTGAACCGGCCAGTCCCCCCCAAGGCGGGGGTCTCTGGGGTTGGCCTCTTGCACCCCTGCGGGAGCATGCCTACCTTACGGAGAAACCCACAGAACCAGGAGCTCGGAACCAAACCTGAGTGCAGACGGTCACGTCTTCCTCTCAAGCCGGCCAGTGGGTACGGTTCTTTTTCTAGGTCGATACTTTCGACCTAGAAGAAGAGCCTCTTGTGTGAGCGGGGACAAATAGCTGCTTGTGGGTTTCTTAGCCGCGCTGCGGGGCCTGCCTGGGTAGCCCACTCTTTTCCCGGGAGGTGCCACTCTCCCTCCCTACTTGGAAGATACTGGGGCATTCACAAGGCACAATGAGTTCTTTCTTTTTATTACTAAGCGATCCAGGGACAGGCCTGGGGCTGACGCCCTGTGACACATCCATTCTCCCCTCCTGGAGATTTCTCCCAACCGAGCCACCAGGCCTCCTGCTGCCAGCATTTTGTCACTGGTGACTAGGTTCCCTTGGGCTTACACCTGGGCTGTGAGCTGTGTCACATGACGTTTAGGCTGCTGTCTGCCTAACAACTGTAAACATAGTCACATGCTAAGAGGTTTTCTTCCAGTTACTTGGCTCAAACCCCAAAACACTGCCGAGTCATGCTGGGCGGGTCCCAGCCCGCCCCAGTTCTGGGCTTCTCCCACATTTTTTATTAAGGATAAACCTTGGCTCAAACTGGAGGCTACCTCCTTCCATGGAGTGAGGAGGGGCGGTCTCTGTGAGGGCTATATAAGGAAAGAAGCGGACTGAGTGTGCATTGGAACCCTGCTGAGGGCTGTTATCAGGTAGTGAGGCTCTGGGCTGGGCCCCAGCATGGCACATTAGGGAGAAAGCCAGGTCTGAGACTTGCTACAGTGTTCCTGTGGGGCTCTGAGCTGACAAGTGGGAGGCATCCCAGCCTAAGGACACCCTCCACTGCCACACCACAGCTTCCTTGGCCTGCAGCTCCAGGTCCTGCCTCTGCTGGTATCTCCCAGAATCAGCCCCTTTGCAGTCTGAGGTTGGCCCTGTGTTTGGGAACCATGCCCTGTCCTCCCCCCCCCCCC